ACTCTGCCAAAGATTGAAACGTGCAAAAGCCTTACTTAGGGGTCTCCAAATCAGGGCTGTTAGAGATATTCATGTTCAGTTACCTAATAAAGGCAGTCAGCAATTTGTATGTAATTTTATTACAGTTTGAGTTTTTTAAGAAGCAGTTTAGAGACGATACATTAGATAACATCAACAACGTGACAATTTGTCATGATTCACCAATACCGGAGGACAAAATGGCTGTCGGAACAAATGCTTCATTCACATGAAAGTGGTGGGGGCAGCGTGCTGCTCTCTAGCTGAGGTGTTAGGAACACTTCCCTCAGTCTTCCTCCACTACTTCTAGCCCATCTTTCATCTGCCTGGTGAGGACTGCTCTCTCGGCACCTTCCTGTGAGAACTGTTGCCTATCAGGTCTTCTTTAGAAAAGATCTACCCTCAGAGGAACTCTCCTCTGCCCCTGTGTCAACTGTATTCTTGGTCCCTGCACAGATCCTCCAGTATGGATTTGACCTAGCCCTGGTGTGGTTTCACTAACATGGATTGTGATTCCTTAACTTCCTCAACCCTAGCGGTCATTCCAGCATGGTCTCTAACCTCCTTGACCCCAGTGCAGAATTGGCCTAATTCCCCCTATCCGAAGTTCTCTCTCTGAGCTTGGCACTTATTGTTATATCATATTTATGGAGGCAGTGTCAATGTCTCTGTCAGTCACTTGTCTGGAACCTTTTAGCCAATGATCAATGGCCATAGGACAGCCAGACATCAGATGATTGCCATCCCCGTGCCCACCTACATTTAAGGGTTAGTTTACCATTCTTTCTGAGCTTATTTTCAAAAACAGCACTGATAATAGGGTGCATTTGGCACCAGATAAACTGTCAATGCCAGTTCAGTGGGCACCATGTCCTCTGTCCCTTTGTAATTCTTGTTTTCATATACTAGAATTTTGGAAAGTTAAGTACTGCTGTAATGTGTGTTAAATGAAAGCTCATGCTACACAGTAGATACTAGGAAAATTTTGTTTATAAAGGGATGCCAATATTCAACACTATATAATCTCCTTTGGTGTTCCTGACTGTGATTGATGGTCAAATCCATACATTCCCGTGTTTCTAACTTGCTGGGTTAATTTGCATGTTATGACAAAAAGCTGTAAAGTCCCTGTACAACCATTTGAAACCAGACCTAACGGCATAAAGAAGGGTATCTGGTATCATTGGGTCACTTCTCAACTCGAGGTGGTTGGAGTTCGAAAACAATTCCAGATTTTAATTTGGGAAAATAATCAATTTGGGATAGCTTCTCGTTTCTGCAAATCTAACTGCAATTTAAAGAGAGAGGATCATTCTGAGTTTGGTGATTCAGCACAGAGCAGTCATAGAGGTGGCCATGGGTACCTGCATGGGCCCAAGCTATGCCTGCCTCTTTGTAGGTTACGTGGAACAATCCCTCTTCCGTACCTACACTGGCCCTAAACCCCACCTCTTCCCCCGTTACATTGATGACTGCATCGGCACCATCTCGTGCTCCCACGAGGAGCTCGAACAGTTCATCCACTTCACCAACACCTTCCACCCCAACCTTAAGTTCACCTGGACCATCTCTAATACCTCTCTC